ATAACTGCCGGCCGACGAATGGGCTCGAAAGCGCCTTCGGGCGGCTCATCTCGTCCACAAAACCGCATCTCGAAATCACTTTCGATTTCGAGCGCCGCCGAGAGGGAAGCAAAAAAAAAAAAAGCGGGAAACGAAAAATGAGGAGATAGAGAATAAAGGAAAGAGGAAGACCATCGAGGAAAACCCGAGGCGAATTCCCTCGAAGGAAAACGACGGAATGAAATCCTTATTCACCCGGCCGATAGACCCAGAAAAAAAAAAGAAGACGAAGAAGGAAGAGACGCGGAGTTCGCGGAAGAGACGGCGAAACTGCACGCTGCTTGGGGATGCAGCACTGCATATTCTGTCTCGCATCGTCTGCGGCAATCTCAAAAATTGTTATACAGGAGAGCATGCAACCGACTGCAACCGCAGCATGCAACCGACTGCAACCGCGTCCCGAGGTCAACCATGAGCGTCATCAGGTGGCTAAGTTATTTCTGCCCGCCGGCCCTCTCCCGCGAAGCGACCGGCGGAAACCGGGCGCCGTGCGTCCCAAACGTCCGGTTCGCGAGTTTTTTGGGTCCAGGGGACGCTCGACTCGTGCGACACGTCCAACCCGAAGGAACTAACGATCGTGAAACTCGAGAACTCCCGGGAGAAATTAGCCGGCACGGCACATTGCACGCATCTCGTTAACCCCGATCCCCTTTCCCTCTCGGGGATACGGCATCGTTCGTCCCGGGTGAGCTCGACGGCAAACGATGCATTCCGAGAATGCCGGTTAATGAGCACCGGATGACACTCGAGAAATGGGAGCTGGCGACACCCAATACCCCGAGAGAGCGTGGGAGGGAGGCTCGGTGATGGGTGGGTGAGGGAGGCTCGTCGATGGGTGAGGGGGGCTCGTCGACGGGAGGCCCACACGCGTCCACGTTCTACGTTCAAGGAGATCCACTTTCTAAAATCGGTTACGGCCTTTCCCCACGGCGCACTTCCGAATTCGTATGGCTGGGTTTTCAAGGGCGAGGATGGTATCGACGTGATGGATTCCCCGCGAGCGGGTCGACGCCAGCACTCCATCATGCAAGGGGAAAGGGGGGGGGGGGAAGGGGGCGGAAGGTGGGCGGAACGTGGGCGACGGGCTTCCGTCGTAAACAGGCGCTGCTCACCTCTTTCGGTGCCCTGGTGGCGATATAGTCATTGTAGATTTTCCGGGCTTTCACTTGTTGCTTCGACGATCGCGTCTTCCGGTAATCTTCGACGGCCAGCCAGAACTCGATGTTCTCCTCGCTGTACTCCCTCTGCAGGAAGGCTCGGAACAGCGCTTGGCCATCTGAAACGACACCCGAAAAGGCACTCAGTCGACGAAACCGTTCTCGAGGGCATCGACATCCTCCCGAGGAAATAAGTGCGCGGATCCTTGCACAAAGCGGAGGTGCCAAAGGGAGAAATCAGGCGGAAGGATCGACGCTTCGCCGACTCGAGACAAGATCTTCTCAAAGCGGGATAGAAATATTCCTCCCCCCCATCTCTTCATCTCCCAGCGATCGATTAAGCAAAATTACAGCAATCCACGTCCGGCCTCGTGATCTTCTAGTCACGCTCCCCCTCAGGCTTTCCCGATGCACCGAGCATTGACGTTCCCAACCCCTCTTTCTCATTTCCTCCAGATTTTCCAAGAATTTTCCTCGATCGAGTGCATCCCATTCAATCATAGTGCATCTCTTTTATCGTTTATTCATGATGGTTTCCGAGAAGCCCATCCCATATTTCTTCTCCAAACA